CGATGCCAATCCTTAATACCTTTTTTTTTCCACAACAATACGGGTCGGATAGCACTTCTTCATTTTGAACGATGAAAATTTTGTAAAATTATCTTGGTTATAATTAAGGTAAAGTATTTTTTTAAAAAATATTTTGTTAAAAGTAAAAAAAAAAATGAATAAAAAGGATTATTCGATCATGTATCCTGCCTCATGAAAGTAAAAATTGTTAGACTCCTCTCTGGAGAAATTTATGACCTAACCTATATTATATCCAATATATTAAGTATTTTAATAAATAAATTAGGCACGTACTTTTGTAAAAGTTTGTTTGTTAAAAATAAAATAAACATTAAATATGCCTTTAGTATGAGTGAATTTAATTTTATCAAAACTATATATTAGTCATTATTCTAAATTTTGAATTCATTTTTTTATTTTTATATATTTTTTTGTTTCAATAAAATTTAACGTATTATATTTTGTTCTAATGCTTATTTTAGGATAAATAAATAATTTTTATGTTAACAATTTATATATAAAAAAATTAGATGTGACTCATGCTAACATTATATTGTATGATAGATAATTGAGTGTCACTTGGATGATGCAGTCTTGTGACACAGTCTTGTGACAAATATATAAATAGCTAACATTCTAACAATTGTCATATAATAATAGTAAATACTAAATATTCTATGGTACCCAAAAATATATTAAATTTAATAATTTTGTATTTTAAAAAGATAAATAATAAATGATTTTCTTATAAAGATTAAAATTAGAATTTATTTTTTATAAAAATTAAAAACATATTTAACTCTTATTTAATCATAAATCCTATATAAGAAAAGTATAAATTGGTTGTAAATGGAATTTTATTAACATATATCATACGCAGTATTTGGTTAGACATTTTTAATAAATAAATTAAGCACAAACTTTTTTAAAGTTTGTTTGGTTAAAAATGTAAAGTTTCCGCTGTAAAAAAGAAAAAACTTTTAAATCTAATGTGTCAGCTTTGTTTTAGTAAATATAAATGATATTTTTTAGTATAATTATTATATCGATTTTATTGTTATCATGTATATATTTAAAAAGTTAGCTTATATGAAAATTTTGTGTTCTATTTATAACTTTTATCTAGTGGAAAGTGTGAGGCCCCTTCCTTTTTCTCCTCCACGTTTCCACCCCACTCTTACTCTCTCTCAAGTCTCACTCTCATCTCTCTCACTTTCTTCTTCCTTTTTGCCGACTCTGTTCTCATTTTTTCTTGTGGTGACTTTGAATTTAAGGAGCTGATTAGGAGTTGGTGCTAAGTAGGTGTTGTTTTCCTTCCCCGTTTCTTTTCTCCGTCCATTTCTCCTCCTCTATTGAGCTTGTTTTCTTCCCGGAGCTCGGAATCTCGTACCGAGGTAAGGGAAGCTAGTTCTTTGGCTGATTTTGTTGGAAATGAGTTCATAAACTCATTGAGTGGTTGATTTTTTGATGATTGATGAGCCGTTTTGATGAAAACGGGTTTTCGGGGTTTTTGGAAAATTTGGGGTTTTCTTGAAATTGTGATTGCATGTTGAAAATGAGGCGTTTTTATTGACGGTTGATGAAAATGGGAACTTTTGGCTGGATTGCATGCTGGTTTTCTAGCTGTTTTCGCAGGATCTGGTGAAGTTTTTTCGAAAATGGAGTGTTGCTGCTGATCTTCGCGCCGGGCGCGTGACCACCAGGGGGCTCCATTTAGGCAAGCCCGCATGGCGCAAAGGTGGGTGCGCCGGGCGAGCTTGAGAATGGAAGCCTCTAGATGGCCCACGCCGGGCGTGACTTGGACTGCGCCGGGCGCGATATCAGTTGTGCCATGTTTTGGGTTTTCTGGTGCTGCGCTGGGCGCCACCATTGTTGAGCTGGGCGCGGAGACTCCTTGGGAGTCTCTGCCAAGAGGGCGCTGGGCGCAATACGAATTGCGCTGGGCGCAATACGAATTGCGCTGGGCGCGAGACCTTGGTAGGTCTCTGCCTTCCCCACGCTGGGCGCGTGAGACTCCTTGGAGTCTCTGCCTGGGCATGCGCTGGGCGCAAAGCTGAATTGCGCCAGGCGCGTGAGAGCCTTTGGCTCTCTGGTTGGGTCACGCCGGGCACGAGTATTCTTGTGCCGGGCGCGATGGCCCCTGGTGCTCTCTGGTTGTGCCACGCCGGGCGCGACCATGTGCGCCGGGCGCGTATGATGATGATGATTTAGATGTTGATAGTTGTTAAACCTTGCTGAAATTGTTGATAGATGTTGTTTTATACTGAATTAAACTGAAATTGATGAATATGCTGTGTTGACTAGATGTTAATGCTGAAAGATGATGTTAAGCTATAATAGATGTATATTCTTGTGCCGAGCTGTGTTGTTATTGATGATTTTAAATGCTGATTTATAATATTGTTGTGCTTTAGAATGATGAGCTAAGTTGTGAGTAGTAAGTTGTGTTTAATACTACTTAGTCGTGCTGTATGCTGATTTGTTGTGCTGTGCTGTGAGCTGTTTAGCTGTGCTATATAATGTTGAGCTGTATGTTGTTATAGACGCTAAGTCGGTGTTGTTATTGCCGCTATGTCGGTGTTGTTATTAGCCACTATTGTGGTGCTGTTATTGCCGTTATGTCGGTGCTGTTATTAGCCACTATTGTGGTGCTGTTATAACTGCTAAGTCGGTGTTGTTATTGCCGCTATGCGATGCTGGTATAGCCACTAGAGTGGTGCTGTTATTTTTGTTATGCAGTGCTGATATTGCTGAATTGTTGTGGTGTAGTATAAGCTGATTGATGTGCTGATAGCTGTAGTTGTTTACCATTCATATTGCTATATATGTATGATGATTTCTTTTCACTAACTTACCCTTTGTTGTTTCCATGGTGTTTGGACTGCAATGATCATACTATGTATGGGAGCAGAGCAGGGATAGGCTGGTAGCTGGTGGTGAGTCTGCAGCTGGTAGATGGAGCTGTTATACTATAGGATGTTTTGTTGTCTTAGCTACTTGATGTAGTAGCATTTGATGTATTTTTTTTGTACGCTTTAACTCTATCCAGACTTAGACCTTGTATATGTATATATTATAGACCCTATATGTATACACTTGTTCCTTTCTGTATGGTGTTTCTAGTGTACTATGCGATGTGTGATGACCAGCTGGGTCGTTACAGAAAGTGTCGTCAAAAAAATGTTTAAATAAATTATCATGGAGGTTAGATTGTGCCTTAAGAATAGGTTTATAATATCATATTTTTTTTCAGAAGTTTATAATGCCATATATACATGTAAAATCTGGCTTTTGTAAAGTTTGATAAATTTATTTTTATTCTTATCTTGTACTTTAAGTATTTATAATTTCAATATTTATAGTTTATTATAAGGGTGAATATGGATCAATTTGATTCGAGTTTAATTTAAAATTAAACTGAAATTGAATAGTCTCAAGTCTGTCAAAATCAGGTTAAGTTATTTTGGGTTTGTAATTTTTTTTTTGTTTTTAACTCAAATTAATTCAACTTGTTTAAGTTCAAGTTAAACTAACATGTAAAACTGTCAAAATGGGTCGTGGCCCGTGGATCAACCTGACCTACCTTGAAAATAGGTCGGGTCGGACCAAAATAAATAAAAATCTTATAGTAAGTGGGTATATTTCAACTCAGCCCACTTTCACCCAATCCACCCTGGTTGAACCCATGGTGGGCCGGTCAGCCCACCAGCCCACCTTTTTTTTAAATTAAAATTTTGATTATGATTTATAATTAATTGTGTATAATGGGACATTGAAATTTTTTATTTTGGACTTTTATCATAATTTGTATTTAATTTTGTATGATGAATTATGACTTATGACTATTAATTATGCTAATTTTATGATTATTATGTTAATTTATAGTTAATTTGAAATTTTAATTTTGTTAGTAATTTTTTTTGGTGGATTGATGGGCTGACCCGTTCAACCCACCAACCCGTGGTAGGCCGGGTCGGGCCAATAAAATTTTTAGAAAATTAAAAATATGTCGAGTCGAATTGATCCGTTTTTAAAGTGAATCAAGGTGGACCGGCCCATATGGTCGAGCTACCTATTTTGACAGCTATATATACTAACATGTCACCCATTGACGGATCCACATATAGAATTGTGGGGGCACTTGCCCCCACTATCATTTGATACATATATACATATTTTTTATTAAAAAATAATATATTTAAAATAATAATAATTATATTTTAATAAAATAAATATATATATTTAAATTACCGTATGTATAAAATATAAATTTAAAAAAGATATTTATTTGTTTGATATTTGTCAAA